CTAGAATTGTGTCTCTCTGTACTAAAATCAACCAACTTGATGTCACTGTGGTACTGAAAAACCGGTAAAATTGAAGAAGAGCTCCCCAAAATATCTGTTGGCCAATTGTTGGCCAACTGTTCACTGACAATTGGCTGACATAATGAAAACAAATTCAGAAACGAGTAAATAGACTGTCATCTTGGTAAGTTTGAACTTTCACAATTACCTCAAAACGAATTTTGATGAACACCATGCGATAGAGGTAAATTTCAAGTGTGAGGCATTATTGGCCATATTGATCTTCATTTATGTGAACTTGATGTGTAGTATCTGACTGACACATTTCATTCTGCTGAAATTGGAAGAGTTTAGTTACTTAGATTTAGCAATACGAGTAAATTTTTTCAAAGACTCACAAAATTGCGTGAGCCCATGTTTTTGTGTTTCTGTTGTGTTTTCTGTGTTTCTTTCGCCAACAGTCGGCCAACAGTTGGCCGACAGATATTTTGGGGAGCGCTTGTTCTTCAATTTTACCAAAAAACCTACATTTTTGTTATAACTAATGGGCAATCTTTTGGTGTTTGAGGGAGAAAGCAGTTACTCTAAAAATTACCTGATGATACTGATAAATAAAATTATCCTCATTACCATGTAGGCTCAGAAAATTTGAACAATTGTTAATTAAGTCAATTAAGTCAATTGTCAACTAATTCCATTTAAGTGGATCTGGTAGACATTATTTGAGGTTGGCACTTTGGGTCCTAGTCCTCAGTACCCCTATCTAAATGGATTTCCTCCATACAACATAAGCTATTTCTTGAGAACTAAATGTTCAAACTCATTTGTATTCCTGAAGAGAGATGCTCTTGGAGAGTCAAGCACCTTTACCAAGAAAAATGATTATAAAGCCCCATTAGCCACTATCATAAATAAATGGACAACAAATGGATACTCAACTAACCTACTGGTGAATGTCACCTCTACCATCTTCATGTCTTTTAGCAGTTTTAATCTATATGGCTGCTTGGGATTCAACCAGAACTTGCCAGCATCTCTGAAAACAAGAGGTTGGCTATGGAAAAACTCAACTTTGCTGTTCTTGTGAGCACGGGAGAGAAGACAGTGAAAGAAAGGCTCAGGTAGGAATTTCTTGAAAAACACAAAGAACTTTTTATCTGAGGAGCTGTCGCTCCACAACTGAGTGTTCTCATCTGTAGAAATTGGCAACAGTGCTGGAACAAAGAAAACTGGGGCCAGAGGTTCCTCATTTACAGGAGCCTTTTGGTATGTCAAAGGGCAGATCAAGTCATATTCTTCGAGGAATGCAGTCACATCTTCCTTATTTTCCTGCACCACTTTTGAGAGGATACTCTCTAGTAGGGGTTCAGTCAGCATTCCTTTGTTGCACAATAGGTTCCAGTGACGTCTGTAACCTCTTTCAGCTATCCCTTCAGGTTGTTGGATGACAAGTTTGATGATAATATCAATTAGTATATCAGGATTAAGCAGAACCCTCTTTGGCTCTTTGTCGAGGTACATAATAAAACCCTTCTCGTGAAAGTATTTCAGTGTCTCTTCAGTCCAGTTGGTGCAAATGAAATTGTCAAATACAGTAGGAAACTCTTCTAACATCACACAGACTTTTGCTCCCTTGTCACCCTTCATACTGATGAGGGCATCCTGGATCTGGATCCAAGAGAGAGGAATGTTCCGACCAATAGTTGTCTTAAGTTCCTCTGCAGTAGCCATGATTGCTCTCTGAAAAGTTTGAATCCCAACATCGTTTTGACCCAAGGAGTTTTCAACAGGAAAAAAAATAAACCCATACTCTTTGTTTAAAACCAGCTCATCACAAAAAAGATCCCAAAAGTTTTCCTTTAGATGGTCATTGATTCTTTCCATAGTGGATTGCTCCATGTTCCCCCTATGTGTTCCCACAAGAAGAAGTGGAGTAATTGGTGGCACGTGGCTACAAACAGACTCAAGCCAAGGGTGGAGACTCTTTATTTTTGCAGACAAGTCTCTGAGACTATCCTCTGCAAACTCAGCAATATTAAATACAATGACATAAATAGCTTGACTTCTTAGAAACATGTGGAAGTAGGCATGATACTCTTTATCTCCAGCAAAATCAAGAATCTTAAGTTTCAAAGAAGACCACTTCTGATTCAGGGCATTTTTCAATTGTCTGTGGTTTATTACTGCTTTTTCCAACTGTACTGCAGTATACATACTTGGACCTTCGTGGTCATGGCCAGATGTTGATATTGCAGATGCCAACCAAAAGTATTCTTGATAAAGAGTATCACAGAAAACAACACAAAATGTCACGCAAAATCTCTCGCTTGAAGAGGAAAGACATAGAAGACAAATAGCCTTCAACATCGATTTTACCCTTTGATGCCACTCTGGTAGTGATTTTGGAGTTTGACGCAATGACTCCTCCAAGAAAACTATGCAGTAGTATATAATCATCACGAAAAAAACCTGATGTAGAATTTTTAAGTAAAATACACCAATTAATGTAACAAAAATGAAGCCTATAGAAGTGTTTAAGATGAAACGACTAAAGAAGATTACTTCTATTGGCCTATTATTATTAAATTTCAGTTGACCAGGATGGGGACACTTTGGCTCCAAAGCAAACGATCGTGGGTGTCTCAAAAGTAAAAAAGCAACGTAACCAAGAGCGATAACTATTGCTACAGAGAAGAGTACTTGAAAAGTTGTAGTTTTTGATGGCTCACCGTAATTTATTTCATTGATAAAACGAAGCAACACAATAGAAAGAAATGCTCCTATTATCAATCCACGAGGGTTGATGAAGAAAGAGTACAAGTCCAGCTTTAATCTCCAATCCTCGTTTGAAGAGTAAACACACCAAGATTCACAAAAATGGAAAAAAAGGTGGGAAAAAAGCATAACAAACATCATTACGAAGAACACGTAGTAATCTTTTTTTGGAGGATCCGTAATTATTTTTGTTAGCACACCTAAAATTACAAATATCATAAGCGCCAGACCGAGACGACTGTAGATTTTCAAAAACCTAGATTGCTGAAAAATTACATGTCCTGCCCTTCCGTAAAGCATTAATCGAATAAGAATTTCTTCATAAAATCGGTTTACGCTTCCAAAAATAAGATCCTTAATATTTAAGTTCCGCCATTTCTCATCAACAAGACTTAGCTCAATTCCTTTCGTTCTTGGCTCCATTTCGTCGAAAGGCTTTCCAGTGATAGCCCTAACCAGACTTGTTTTTCCAACTCCAGAGTCTCCAAGAACCAGACACTGTCCCTGATTAACGAACTGTTGACAAGGTTGCTCTGTTTGATGAGGATCTTGATTCAGCCCTGCTTTCTCTAGCAGTTCTTGGCATGTTCTCCTTCCTTCTGGTAACCGATGTTCCAGTCGCAATTTTTCTATTATATTGCTGTGCTTATCGAGAGTTTCACTATCAGTGACCACAATGCGCTGAAAGTCGAGGCCCTCGGTGGGATCCATGGTATTTTTTCTTCAGGTTTGGGTCGGATGCTTCATCACGAGCCACATGTAAACTATTCGAAAAGGCTGGTTGCTATGGAGTGACGTCATAAACCGGATAAAAGCAAAAGCGGGAATGTTTAGTTTCCCGCGGTCGAGTGCAGTTATGGATCCCTTGAAACTTCGAAGGGTTGAATTGCTTCATTCTCCTCCAGATGAGTCAAGGGAATGGTTTATCTTAAATTTCAAGAAATGTGGCATAAGAGTCAGCAAGTTTTTTGAAGTAGCCTGTTGGTGGCACATTTTCCAAGCGTTTTGTACGGTCCAGCTTTAAAAAATGGCGGAAGCTTGGATGACCGATATGTTCAGAACAACAAAGTGGCCATCGCCTCTCTATTTGGAGTTGTTTCTACCATCTTCCGGCAGAAATTCGAAGAAGGAGAAGTGGTGAGATATCTTTGGTTGATCGATAAAATAAATTCTTGATCCTGGATCAAGAAAAGCTTGGCAAACGTTACTTAGCATTTTCAAGCTAAGACGAACCGGGGTAAGTCATAACGTTTATATTTTTATTAAGATTGGAAAAAGTGAGTTTGCTGTCTTATGTTTTGTTGTGAATGCTGGTTTCACGGTGTATCAGAACTCATCTCTGCTTGGCAGGAAAATCACATAATTGGCTGAGTTTGATTTTACGCTGAGCCTCTAAGTCTTCTAGCTATGATCACTTTTTATGGCTACTTTAGGAGAAATTTCGGGTTTGTTTCCTTGATAGGGTCTTGACAGTATTATAATTTATTTCATTTCTATTTTTCTACGATAAAAGATTTAAATCGCCAGAGGGATGCCATTGAGAAAACTGGAATAGTAGTTAATGGAAGATGCTTTAAAGTTAAATTTCCAGGTTATTTGTGTGTGCCAATCTTGACTCTTTATATTTTTTTTATCTTATTATTTTTTATTTTTGCAATGTTTTTATGTTACATGTCTAGCTACGTGATAGTAATTATTGAATCCATTTTATGCTTGGCAGTGTTAGAAAATATCTGGGAAAGTATAACATTTGAGATCTTTGGTGTAGCTATTTTAACTTCAACTTCCTTTAAGAGTTATATTACGCCGATGTATTATCTTTCCTTTTTATATGGCTGGCTTCGCAAGCGGTGCAAGATGCAGCGAATTCTGTGAGCTGATTGGCTATTAACCCTTGCTTATTTTTCGTTTTCTGCGGTGGCCAGCGTTGCAGCCATTTTGTCTTTGTGTAACCTGCAGGCAAGCTCTCGCTTGGCTCTTATCGCTTGGCTCAGGTTTGAGTTTTCCTGCTTGGTCAATAACGCATTACTGGATCTACCGCGCTCTATGTTAATTTCCAAACCACTCTAGCGCACAGCGCTTGACTCAGTATTTAAAGTTGGTTTTTCGGAAAAAGTCAACGTCCCACCCCTCTCAAGAAGCTTTTAGAATATAAAAATTCAAGGACTTTCTAAGGATTGGTTAAATTCATTGGGGGACTTGCCCTGAAATTAACAGACTTGCAAGACAGTACGAACCCTGTTAAAGTTCAAGGGAGTTTAAACTTGTTCGTAACGTGTCATTAAACGAAAGTTGGTCTTTGTCTGTTTAAAAGCTTTGTCAGCTTGTTCAACATCTATCTTGATTTGAAAACAATTATTATTACCCCCGGTCTCTGTTTATTCACGATTTTAATCATCGTTGCGGAGGAGGTAGCGCAAAGAGATTTTCAACACCAGTGCGTTAATCACATCGTACCTATAATGTCTGTAATCTCTCGCAACTATCTAGAGGATTCCGGCACCAATATAGGTCATATGAAGGCCAGTGACAAAGAATCTTATGTGTACTGCATGAATATCGTTTAAAAAAACTGGAACAGTGTGTAAACTATAAATGCGACATAAAATATCAGTGAGAAAAAGCCGCCATGTATTGTGGACTCTGCGTTAAACAGCAAAAGAAATTATAGGTTGTAATACGCCGAGTTTATTCCCAATAACTGGTAACCGGATGCTCAAAAATTACAGCACCAAGCGTCAGCTGTCAAAGATTCCGAACACAGCGGAAAAAAAGTCGTCGGTTCTGGAATTTACTTTGTTTCCGATCCGAAAACAAAAATCTGGTAAAATTGATTAGAAAACAAAACACTCAGGCCGCCAGTTAAATGTCGTAGTAAATAAGCGTCGCAGCCTATGTCAGTATTAATGAAGTTAACTAAATCCGCAAGCATTGACTAAGAAATGTTTCTTCGACGTGACTGTAACTGCCGCAACACACTCCGGGCGAGCGCTTTGTCTTGTCACTATTTTTAAGCGCCGGCCATGTACACTTTTTTCGGATACGGCTTCTTTAATTACCTTTTCACGCCATAGGATGATGACATGATTGTGTAAAAGTTGACGCCTCTATCAGATTAGGAGCGAAATACGATCAAAAATTTTACCCAAGCAAGCCACTGGTATCCAGCAGAGAATGCGGACTAAAAGTACGGATTCTCTGCTGGATACCTAGACTTTTTTTGGTTGCTAACGGCGTGAGGCTCGTTATGTCGACCTTTCATGTCTGAAATAATGTCACGCAATGAATGATGGTACAGCCAACAATGCACTAATGCAGGGGGAGGAGTGGGGGGGGGGACGGTTGGGGGAATAAAAGGTTCACAGGCCTCCTGTAATTTTGTGCCCCTCTGCCTCCCGGGTGCCGCCCTTTATAATGCTGCTTCCGTGTTCCATTACCATGACCATTCTATGGTGTTTCGTTTTCGTGGGAGGGGAGGTAATTTTCTGCCTGTAATATTACAGGCCAGATTCCACTGACCTGGTCATCACAGTTTGACCATCGATTCTCAAATCTCGCTTAGTGGAGAAGAATATTTCAGCCCCTTGTGTCGTCGAGGTTTATATCAAAATGGCGGTAATAATAAATTTGTCACGATTCAGAATCGAAAAATACTCTTTATTTAACATTTTCAAAGTATTCCTGAATTTAAGAGGTTTGCTGTTTTGAAGTCTAGTATATGTGCCAGTCGTCCTTATCATGAAATTATTCTGTCTCTCGACAAGTACAGATTTTGACACCTCGACACGACGCCAAACCTATACGTCTGTGCCTCATGATTTGTGTCTTGTTCTTGTGAGTATGGTCAATTGATTTTCAATCAATGCGCAACATGATTTCTTGTCTATCAGAATAATACAACGGTGAAGAACTCTCACCAATTTGTACCCAACGAGAGTAACAGCAAGTAGGGTTTGTTTAACAGCATTAAATAACATCGACTTGACTTTGCTTTTATCGAGCAATTTTAGTATTTACATAAAGCTGAAACGTAAGCACTAATCTTATTCGGCCGGCAGGCCTGGCGCACAAATGGGAGGGTGAAGTGAGACTGTCATCAGTATTTGCGCGTAAAGAGCGAAGGGAGCGAGTAGTGAGCTGAAGTTGGATCGCTGGAATCGCTCTCCATCTCCTTTGCGCGCTAACGCCACAAGCTACAATTAATAGTGAAAAATATTTACAATAATGGCATTAGGCAGATTTTAGTTAACTTTCCCTTGCTTGGGATGCTACTCAGTCCACAGACCCTCGGTGAAACGTCTTCCGTGATTACTGAACCAAAACTTATCACTTTTTTTCTTATACTTTTTCGAAGTAAAAATGTTTAGGACTCTCATTATTAATCACTGAGTAAGTATTGCGAGGAGCAAAGTAAGAGGAAGTAATAAACTGAAAATGTTATGTTGCTCTGTTGAAGATGGCATGAAGTTATAACCTAACGAATCGTTACTTGGATGATCTCGCACAATTACAATCATGTCCTTTGGTCTTGTAGGGCTTTGATTCCGTCTTGACGTTGTCTTATGAATTGTTTGGGTCTTGGTGTTCGCAGAAGAGTGTTGATCAGGGTTTATCGCGGTGTTCAGTTGATTCTTTGTTCCACAAACTGAAATATGAATACATCAAAGAATAAACATGACACATGCGTAGCTCCTTTCTGATTGACCGCTGAGATTACTTTGGGTTAGGTTTTATGACAATCAATCTCATTCAGATGATTTATTGAATGTTAAATGATCAATTAATTGTGAAGTAAAATGAAACCTCTGACTGGTAAATTAATCTATTAATTTACTTTTAGAGTTTGTGGTTTGTTTGTTAAGCTGACATATTTTCATGACTTTTTGTCGACTATCTGGCGTATTTAAAAGGCAGTAAGAAAGGTCGTGATTCATTGAGGAAAAGCAATCCCCTTCTGTTTGTTGAATTGATGGGTGATGCGAAGTGTATCTGGAAAAACTTAAATACTTTAAATGACTTCCTTGTGCGATGTTATTGACGAGTTATTACAAAATAAGTACTACACTTATAATTACCTGAATTAGCTGTTCTACATCCATAGATTTCGAGTCGCACACATGGTATTTCGTACTGCCTTGAGAGAAGCGGTCGAATTCGCACTAGCCGAGCTTTAAAGGGCACTGGTAGCTTGTTTTGTCGCGCTCGCAGATTTTTGCGATAACCTTCAAATACCTGGAGAGATAAGAATGTGATGCGAATGTCAGTCAAAGTACACGATCCAAAACATTTTGCCACAGCAAGTATTAATAGCCAAATAGGATAAAAATGCGAGGACGCAATCTATAAAGAGCCATTTTTCAATTTATCTATTTAGTGTCGTGGGTAATCCGGGATTGTGTTAGTTTTTCTTATTTGCATCTACTTTCTATTTGGTCTCGAAAACTCGAAGCTCCACCTCAGGCAGTTGAGATGTTTTCACTTTAGTTCTCATTGGCTCCTGGAGACATCATCTTTTACACTGATTGGTCATTGTGATTACTCTGTTAAAAAGTGCTCCAGGCCTTACTTCTTCCCAAGATAATCCATGGCAACTTATTACCCTTGACTGCCAGGGGTCAAGTCAGACCCTTTCATGACAAATGTCATGATTTGGACTCACCGTTCCTTCTTGATATTCAAACCAATTTATCCCATCACAGCTGTAGTTAAGTTTGTATCTTAAAGCAATGTTTCCGTTTGCCGGAACACCTTGTGTTGCTATAGCAGTGACAATAAAGTTGTTCAACAAGTCCACTTGCAAGAAAGGGTTCATGTCCCCATCTGCTGCACACCAGCCCCCCAGCGATCTATGGTTGAGACTCCTGGAGAGAAACATGGAGAGAAAGGAAAAAGAGAACAGTTTGATCAGAAAATTTCGTGGATATCCTGGAAGAATGTAGCGAGCAGTTCACGAGGAGAATTACATTCCTTGGCCATCTAATGGTCAGCTCATGTAAGATTGGAATTGACTCTGATCACTCAATTTATTTTCCATTCTTTTTGGTTTAAGACTTTAAACTGAAAACTTTTGGTCAGTAACAAATGATATTACCCGCAGTAAATTTCTTGCAAAATTAGAGGAAGGTTATCACTTCAGTAACTCCTTCAAAGAAAATTGAATTTTTCTTGGGTTAAAGGTGTGCGCACGCGCTAACTTTGACTAGGAATCAGTTAATTATTAATACATTTATTAATATATTTATCAATATATTTGCCTAAAGATGCCAACCAGACGATCTAATCGACTGGCAACTCGGAAGATGTTCTTTTCAAGTAGAAAACGATTTTATAACATAACCAAAGTAAAGCGCGCGCTCTGATTGGTCAATTTAGCGTCCCCCATAACTAACCACTGATTGTGAAGTCTTGCTTCGGATGGTCGAGTCCAAAGACTGTCGAAAGACGAAGCTTTTATTTGCGACTCGTTAATTGCACCAGACTGCATTCCAAGGGCATATGAACATGCTGTGGAGAACCGTGGTGAAAGAAATTAATGAGGTACTTTAAAATTTAAAAGACAAGTTTGATTTTTGAATTATTGCACTGCAACTGCACTGCAGGAGATTTGTTGGGCAATTCTTTTCTGTTTACTGTAGAATATAGAGTAAATATTGCAAAGCACTGGACAGACGTTTTTGTTTCAACACTTGTCTGGTCGGAAAGATACCATTTCCTGTAGACAAGTCCGTGTTGGTTGTATTTGTTACACCCTTAATGAAGTTTTTAAATAATTTCAGTATAGCTCGGCAGAGGACCGCGAGAAGTTTTCGGTATCAGTAATACCGCCATTTACTAAGGACTTCACCGAAGCGATCACCTTACCGATGGGAATTGTAGTTTTATCAGTGGCTACGCTGTCAGTGATCTGTGACTTGTTCTCCGACTCAGAACTCAGCGTTGAAAATTTTGGAGGCAAACCAGTTAATGGGGCCTTGGTTACGAAAGAAGACTCTGCTGTTGCCGGACTTGGTGACACTGCACCTGTATCCTTGGTAGGATGTGGACAGGCTGAAATTGAAGAAGAACATTTTTGTCAGTTAACTAAAAAAAAAAATCAGTTTTTCCTTTTTGCTCTAAAAACTGTAACTTGTGTATTATATTTCAAAGATACTGGTTTAGTTTTCTTTCTCTCAAGTCTCTATATATATCTTATTAACCAAGCGCGAGGGCCGTACTGGGAGAATATCGGCCCGGGGTCTTCACAGTAGGGACCGAGCGCAGCGAGGTCCGTAAAAAAAGACTGAGGGCCGATATTCTTCCAGTACGGTCCCGAGCAAGCTTGGTTAATAAGAGATTTATTATACGACTGAAGTTCAAAGGGACACAAGTGCGGTATCATTCGGGACCATTCGGG